TTCTATCAGAGGGAGTCCCCCTCAGCAGACCCACGTCATGGGTCAGTCTTCACGGACACGTTGCTGTCAGGCTGGGGGGGGGGACATGCCTATCTCAAGCAGTAGGGGCGCTGTGGCCCCACTACACATCAGCCCACATCAATGTTTTGGAGTGTCGCACAGTACTGAATGTGATTCAACACCTTGCTCCTGTGCTACAGAATCAACACGTGTTGATTCATACAGACATCATGATGACTGCTGCGTACATAACCATCAGGGTGTGCGTTCAGCCCAGATGTTACACATTGTGCGAAAGCTACTGAGTTGGGTTCATCAAAACCTGCTTTTATTAGAGCGGTTTACATATCCGGTGTTCTGAACAGAGGGGCTGATGTGACGTCCAAGGGCGGCCCACATTACGTGGACCGGATCCTCCATCCGGATCTGATGTTTTCAGACGCAGCAGAAGTTGGCAAAGCAGCTGTGGACCTGTTTGCGATGCGAGAAGAACGCTCAATGTCAACTACGGTTTTCCCTGAGCCCGCGAGACGATCCATCGCTGGGGGGGGACGCATTTGCTCACAGTCGGTGGCCCAAAACGCTTTTTACGCGTTTCTTTTCCCCCACCTCCTCTGTTTTTTTTACGGTCCATGAACCGAGTTCAAGAGGAGGGATTGACAGCTCTCCTGGTGGCTCCCGGCGTGTGAACGCACTATGGTTCCCAGGCCTGCAACGTCTGTTGTTGGGTCGCCGTGGAACTGTCATGGAGGAAGGATGCTCTCCTTCAGGCAGGAGGAGCGACCAAGAGTTACCCAGAAATAGGTCAACACCGGTGGGTCTGACCGCTGAGCGGTTCCACTTAGAGGATGGGTCTCCCTCAGGAGATAGTGTGCACAATTCAAGATTCACGTGCTGCATCTACCACAGTTCTGTACACATCAAGGGGACGGCTTTTCAGCGCTGGTGTACAGAGAAGGTTTAGAGACCACTTCATGCCTTTTAGGCGGCGTGTTGTTTTTCTACAACAGCTGATGGATAGGGAGTTGGTTTTCAGTACGCTTTAACGTACGATTGCAGCCATCTCTTCCTGCCACAAAGGGTTTGGAGACAGAACAGCTTTTATCACCCGCTGATGAAGCGGTTTCTAAAAGGTGTACAGAGATGTAGGCCTGTTTCACGCCCACTTGTTCCACAGTGGGTTTAACGCTGGTCCTGCGAGCCCTGATCAAAGCTTCAATTGAGCCTCTGGATCAGGTTTCATTTAAATTCTTGTCCCTTTTAACAGCCCTGTTGCTGGTTTTAACACCCGCTAAGAGGGTAAGTAATTATCTGCCTTCTCTGTTGCTTCGTCATGCCTTAGAATTAGGCTGACGGGCAGCTCAGCTGATTTAAGACCAACCCAGCTTTTATGCCTAAAACATCACGAGCTCTTTTAAATCAAGAGTGATATCGTTGGAGGGGTTTTTTCCCCCCCACAGATCAGAAGGGGAAGCATCTGTTCATCTTCTCTGCCCGGTGCAGGCGTTGACGTGTTACGTAACGCGCACAGCTGCAATGCGTTCAAATTCAACAATTGTTTGTGCATTATAGAGATGCTTCTGCAGGTCGCCGTTATCCATCCAGCGCTTGTCACACTGGCTGTGTGAGGCCTTTTCTGAAGCCTACAGAGCATCAGATTTACGGCCTCCTGTCAACCTCTAAGCACATTCGACCAGGGGTATCGCATCTTCGACTGCTCTGCATAATGGTATGTCAATGCAGGACATTTGCACTGCGGCTGCATGGTCAACACCCTGCTCATTTATTCGCTTTTACCTACGTGATGTAACGGCTCGTTCCATGACACATTCTGTCCTTAGTGCTCTAACAGAATGAATATTGTTGTTCTCATGGAACTCTGTTTAAGCTCACTTCTGTCTGCATGCATTACAGTGTGAGATGTTGTTATCAGTCACAGTCGTGTCTGTGTTTCTGGTTCTATTGTCACTAATCAGTTCATGATTATTGTTACCAATCAGTTCATTTGATTATTTATCAATTCATGGACATTAATCTGTTTATACTGTTCAGCCATGAACCAGTTGGTTCATGCCCCCCTCCCCCCCTCTTTTCAACTTCCTCTTCCCGTTGAAAGTTTTTCCGGGGTATTCATGCTTGTCAGAACGCATAGTTACACAACATGCGTCTGTGCATGGCACATAATTACGCGATGCGTAGTTTATGCACACGGGGAGCTGGGTGACAAGACGTTTTTTGGGCAAGCTTCCGCTTCTTACTGTGTTCGAATGGACCCAGTGAGGCGAGGACCACATCCGCTTCGCCCTTAACCCATCAGCGACAGCCTTAAAGGGCGAAGCCTATATGAAATAGAACGTTGGTTACGTACTGTAACCCCAGATTCTATGAATATAGGCGTAGCCCTTTAAGCGTTGGGCCTCACTGGCTCCTAAATGGCTGAAGAAAAAAGCTATTTTGGGAGCCGATTTCCCGCTCTTAACGTAATTTATACGGACCGGGTGGGGCCCACACAGCAGGTGGGCGTGGACTAATTTTTTTCAGTGCTTATGCTCTGCATAACGGGATAAACCCATCAGCGACAGCCTTAAAGGGCTACGCCTATATTCATAGAATCTGGGGTTACAGTACGTAACCAACGTTTTCTGTCTGCAGTTCTGCTGATCATTTACACGACACCAGTGGCCCCCCTCTTTGAATCCGGAGCTTTTTCAACCCACCTTCCAGAGTGGAGGTTTTTCACTGACCCCCCCGCTGATAATGTAAACATCTCCCGCTGAGGCTTTGTGTTAAACCACATGCGCACACGCACGCGCGGACGCACGCTATATTTCTATCAACGTGGCGGACACAGTGCTTTCAGAACTATGACTGATGGAATATATTTTTAATCTCGTAGTTAATCTACGTCAGATTCCAGGTGCTGTGACCAACGTCTGTGTCGGAAGAGACACAGTCTGATCCAGTTCTAATATCGCTGTTTATAGAACGAGGCATGCGCACATGTCGCGCTGCACTATAACATACTACATGTGTTAAATAATAACAGTTTAATAATAATAAACAGTATTTATGTTGGTGTGAGATATAATGAAGCTCTGAGCTAAATGAAGCTATCTGGACATTATGTAATTCAAATTATGTGATTAAAATGATGCTAAACATATTGCGTGTTACTAAAGTTGAACATGAAGACATCAGGTTTAATTTTTATTTATTTATTTAACACCACAAACTGTATGTCACTCAAACACTGATAATTAAACTGAACACACTATTAAAACAAGTTAACTGTAAACTACGTTAATGAACTGGACTCTTGTTTTCATCCTGGATGTCCTACGTTGTTCATCTGGCTCGTTCAGGCTGTCTCTCCTTTGATTAATGCAGCTTAAAACATTTAATGGATTGAATAAAAGAAATGAGGGGAATTTTAAATAAATAGTTCATCCAACATCTCTCTCTTCGACGTCCTCCTGCAGTGCACCTGGGCCGAGCCTCGTTCAGAACCGGTCCGCCTGGTGGGAGACAGCTTCTTCTTCTTTCAGGAAAAATAAAAACTCAGCTGGTTGTTGTGTGATCAAAGTAAACACAAACCAACATTATTAAGAACGCTGATTTATCTGCTGTAAATCAGCTACTGATGATCACAGAGTAAAGTCCGACATCGTCGACTCGGTTCTGGTCCACTCAGCGACCGGTGTGGAGCTGTTAGATGAAGCGGTTCCACTTAGCATCAAATCTGTCGACTCTTATCCACAATCCAGCTTTAACTTGTTGTTAACTTGTTGTTAGCTGAGCTTTTAGCCCAGAGGAAAGGAGCGTGCCATGGCAGCACGCATGTGCATTAGGTGAAGGTACAAAATTCACAACACCATCTAATGACCCGGCATGGTAACTACAGCGTGTTCAGTGGGGCGGGGGGATTCCTTCGGATGTGTGTAAACACAAAATCCGACCATGTCAACGCGGATCTTTTCCTCTAATTAGCATACGAAAAAACCTACGTTTCCCCCCACAGTGTCCGTGTAAATAAGGCCTAAGTGTTAATCTTGTTAAATTCTTGTTAAAGTCCTCCCGTGCACGCTCCCACGGCTGCCATTTGGCAGCTAATCAATTTTTGGCACAACACCAGCACACATTTCTGAGTTGTCAGCGGTGACTCATAATAGATGCAACTTATACGGCGGAGCGACGTATTTATGGATTTTTCCACTTCATTAGACATATTTGGACTGATGCAACTTATACGGGCGGTGCGACGTGCACAGTGAAAATACGGTAGTCTAAAACTTTGACATTGGATGATATGATTTCCTTCAAGGAATGCTAGATCTTTGATTTTACTATTTAAATAATTCAATTATTACTAATCATTGTGCCTCAGAAGAAATAAATGAACATTTTTGGAAAGAGGACAATAAATTAAAAGCAATAATAAATTTCATTTCTACATGTTTATTTTAACTTTTGCAACCAACTCACCAGCAGCTACTGACATTACTTTTTTCTTATCAATCACCTGATGGGGGTCTGTCTGGTCTCTACACCATGAGTTAGGCACATAACGTGGGGGGGGCTTAAACTGGAGTAACACAAGAGTAGGTTGGAGGGATTGCATATGTACATGTGTGAGAATGTGTTGAGTGTGTTTGGTGCTGTGAAGAGTGAGCAACAGGTGCAACCCTGGGGCTATTTTAACATCCAAGCTATGCCGAAAAGGCGTATAAAATGTTGTGCCTTCTAGGCACTGGTGGCTCAACGTTTCCTGTAAGTCAGGTGAAAAATATTTGTACTTTGTAAATAAATTGACTTTTTTCCTTTTAGTTTTTTAATCTTGTTTATCTTTACGTGCATTTTTAGAATGATAGACATTTTATGTCATGTCTGAGTGTCAGGTTTTTCAGACACAGACACAAACAGAAGCAGCCATAAACAACATTAAATTAATGAGTGTCAGGTGTTGTTGACATGTCTGATTTTTATTTTGTTTTGTTTTCAAGGAGCTCGAGTTAATGCCAAAGATAACAAGTGGTTGACTCCTCTTCACCGAGCCGTGGCTTCCTGTAGTGAGGTAACATGGTTTTTGAATTATTCAACTAAAACTTGGGCCCTATTTACACGGACACGATGGGGGGGAAACGTAGGTTTTTTCGTATTTTAATTAGAGGAAAAGATCCGCGTTGACATGGACGCATTTTGTGTTTACATGCATCCAGAGGAATCCCACCGCCCCACTGAATACGCTGTAGTTACCATGCCGGGTCATTAGATGGTGCTGTGAATTTTGTACCTTCACCTAATGAGCATGCGTGCTGCCTCGGCATGCTCCTTTCCTCTGGGCTAAAACTTCAGCTAACAACAATTTAACAAGTTAAAGCTGGATTTTGGCTGAATTTTGGATAAGAGTCGACAGATTTGATGCCAAGCGGGACCGCTTCAGCTCCATACCGGTCGCTGCGTGGACCAGAACCGAGTCGACGATGTCGGACTTTACTCCGTGATCATCAGTAGCTGTTTTACAGCAGGTAACTCAACGTTCTTAATAATGTTAGTTTGTGTTTACTTTGATCACACAACAACCAGCTGAGTTTTTATTTTTCCTGAAAGAAGAAGAAGCTGTCCTTCCACCAGGCAGACCGGTTCTGAAGGAGGCTCGGCCCAGGTGCACTGCAGGAGGACGTTGAAGAGACAGAGATGTTGGATGAACTATTTATTTATAATTCCCCTCATTTGTTTTATTCAATCCATTAAATATTTTAAGCTGCATTAATCAAAGGAGAGACAGCCTGAACGAGCCAGATGAACAACGTGGGACATCCAGGATGAAAACAAGAGTCCAGTTCATTAACGTAGTTTACAGTTAACTTGTTTTAATTGTGTGTTCAGTTTAATTATCAGTGTTTGTGTGACATACAGTTTGTGGTGTTAAATAAATAAATAAAAATTAAACCTGATGTCTTCATGTTCAACTTTAGTAACATGCAATATGTTTAGCATCATTTTAATCACATAATTCGAATTACATAATGTCCAGATAGCTTCATTTAGCTCAGAGCTTCATTATATCTCACACCAACATAAATACTGTTTATTATTATTAAACTGTTATTATTTAACACATGTAGTATGTTCTAGTGCAGTGCGACGTGTGCGCATGCCTCGTTCTATAAACAGCAACATTAGAACTGGATCAGATTGTGTCTCTTCCAACACAGACGTTGGTCACAGCACCTGGAATCTGACGTAGATTAACTACAAGATTAAAATATATTCCATCAGTCATAGTTATGAAAGCAGTGTATCCGCCGCCATGTTGATAGAAATATAGCGTCTGTCCGCGCGTGCGCATGTGGTTTAACACAAAGCCTCAGCGGGAGATGTTTACATTATCAGCGGGGTGTCAGAGAAAAACCTCCACTCTGGAAGGTGGGTTCAGAAACCTCCGGATTCATAGAGGGGGGCACTGGTGTCGTGTAAATGATCAGCAGATCCGCAGAGAGAAACCTGTGGATTCACTAAAAATACACGCCGTGTAAACGGCCCCTTAGGCATGTTTTACACAAATCAATGTTTTTGAGCCTCATGCTTTAAATAACTGTTTGTTTAGAAAAATTAACTCCTTTTCCAAAAATAGATCTTAAAGCATACATGCAGAGATTTAATTAAGTGGGATTATTCATATTATGTTTAATAATCCATCAACATCTGTTCATGTATTCTTCATTCTGGGCACTGTGCCCAAACTAACACAGCCGCTCGTGTCCTTTTATTTTCTCAGGTCTATTTTCAGCTTCACAGTCCTCTAAGAATAGCAAAACAATTTTAAGCACCTATATAGCCACCTGCAAACACTGGCGTGAACTTTGTTTGAGCAAACAGCTGTTTTCCAGTGAACTGTGCCTGCACAGTCTGACCCGTGCTTGCTTTCTGTTCAGGATGCGGTGGCAGTGTTGTTGAAGCACAGTGCGGACGTTAACGCTCGGGACAAAAACTGGCAGACACCGCTGCATGTAGCAGCAAGCAACAAGGCCGTCCGCTGTGCCGAGGCTTTGGCCCCACTTCTGAGCAATGTCAATGTTTCTGACCGGGCGGGACGCACCGCCCTGCACCACGCTGCCTTCAGTGGACACGTAGAGGTTGGTTCATTGTTCTTACATGCACAGACGAAACATGCCTTCAAAAAGTTATGATGTTTTTAATTGCAGTAAAGCCTTTTAATAAGATTTTTTTTTGGTCTGAACATTTTGTTGTACACTCAAGTACAAACCGGATTCCAAAAAAGTTGGGACACTAAACAAATTGTGAATAAAAACTGAATGCAATGATGTGGAGGTGCCAACATCTAATATTTTATTCAGAATAAAACACAAATCACAGATCAAAAGTTTAAACTGAGAGAATGTATCATTTTAAGGGAAAAATCTGTTGTTTCCAAATTTCATGGGGTCAACAAATCCCAAAAAAGTTGGGACAAGTCCATTTTTACCACTGTGTGGCATCCCCCCTTCTTCTTACAACACTCAACAGACGTCTGGAGACAGAGGAGACCAGTTTCTCAAGTTTAGAAATAGGAATGCTCTCCCATTCATGTCTAATACAGGCCTCTAACTGTTCAATCGTCTTGGGCCTTCTTTGTCGCACCTTCCTCTTTATGATGCTCCAAATGTTCTCTATAGGTGAAAGATCTGGACTGCAGGCTGGCCATTTCAGTACACGGATCCTTCTCCTACGTAGCCATGGTTTGTGATTGCTGCAGAATGTGGTCTGGCATTATCGTGTTGAAAAATGCAGGGTCTTCCCTGAAAGAGATGATGTCTAGATGGGAGCATATGTTGTTCTAGAACCTGAACATAGTTCTCTGCATTAATGGTGCCTTTCCAGACATGCAAGCTGCCCATGCCACAAGCGCTCATGCAACCCCATACCATCAGTGATGCAGGCTTCTGAACGGAGCGTTGATAACAACTTGGGCTATCCTTGTCCTCTCTGGTCCGGATGACATGGCGTCCCAGTGTTCCATAAAGAACTTCAAATCGTGACTCATCTGACCACAGAACAGTCTTCCATTTTGCCACACTCCATTTTAAATGACCCCTGGCCCAGTGCAAACGTCTGAGCTTGTGGAGCTTGCTTAGAAATGGCTTCCTCTTTGCACTGTAGAGTTTCAGCTGGCAACGGCAGATGGCACGGTGGATGGTGTTCACTGACAATGCTTTCTGGAAGTATTCCTGAGCCCATTCTGTTATTTCCTTGACAGTGGCATTCCTGTTTGAGGTGCAGTGACGTTTAAGGGCCCGGAGATCACGAGCATCCAGTAGAGTTTTACGGTCTTGACCCTTACACACAGCGATTGTTCCAGATTCTCTGAATCTTTTGATGATGTTATGCACGGTTGATGATGATAACTTAAAAGTCTTTGCTATTTTACGCTGGGTAAAACCATTCTGGTATTGCTGCACTATCTTTCTGCGCAACAATGGTGGAATTGGTGATCCTCTTACCATCTTGGCTTCTGAGAGACACTGACACTCTGAGAAGCTCTTTTTATACCCAATCATGTTGTCAGTTGACCTAATTAGTGTTAATTGGTCTTCCAGCTGTTTGTTATATGCTCAATTTCCTTTTGCCAGCCACTTATTGCTACTTGTCCCAACTTTTTTTGGATTTGTTGACACTGAAATTTTGAATCAACATATTTTTCATTTAAATGTTACATTTACTCAGTTTAAACTTTTGATCTGTCATCTATGTTATATTACGAATAAAATATTGACATTTGCCATCTCCACATCATTGCATTCAGTTTTTATTCACAATTTGTTTAGTGTCCCAACTTTTTTGGAATCCGGTTTGTACAAAGGTACTGAAACACATTTTTAAACAGGTTAATATGGACTGATCTCATCAGCTGTAGCTCATTCTCTCTACGATGAGCTTGCTTCCAGAGAACTCTGCTGTATTTCTAAGCAGAGTTGATCTACCTCTTTGCATAAAAACAGTATAAGGTTATATTTCTGTTTTCTGATTGGTCAAAAAGGCCTCAGGCTTCGCTCGGTTCACCTTTTATTCCCAAATTCAACACCCTCACCGTCACAAAATGATCAGCCGATCTAAGAATCATCCAGACATGTGATAACTTGTTATTCCCTCTTTTAAGTTTTTATTCGAACATTTTTTGTTTGTCTGGCATCTAACTGTAGACTTGTTTAAAATAGTCATAAAATGGTCAGTGGGTCAGTTTAAAAACCGATAGTAATTGTGTACGTCAAGATTCTTTATTTGTCATTCGCATCACATGTAAATGGTAAATGGACTGTACTTATATAGCGCCTTTCTATCTTATTTCAAGATACTCAAAGCGCTTTACAACAATCTGTGCCTCATTTACCCATTCATACTGCACTCTACTAGATCTTTACAAAGCTCATTGAACAAATCATTCTAAAGAGACTAATCAGAGCTTTATCACATTCAAACACTGATGGGACACACATCAGAGGCTATGAGGGGTTCATTGTCTTGCCCAGGGACACTTCAGCATGTGACTGCTGGTGGATTCGAACCCCCAACTCTTGCATTGGAGGACGACTGCTCTAACCACTCAGCCACAGCCGCCCCACATGTGGTACCTGTGGTGGAACAAAATTATGTACACAGGGTCCCAGTTACATCCAACAATAAAATGTAAAAGAAAAAACAGTATAAGATCTAAGATATAAGATAGATGTTAACTACATATACACTAAGCACTAATAGCATAAAAACAATACGCCGAACAGCAGCACGAACATGAGTCTGTGTGAGCAGATGAGCACACAAACACAGCAACATGAAACAGATCAGCAGCAACATGAAACAGATCAGCAGCAACATGATGTGATTTTTTCACAGTGATTATTCTGGGTAGAGATTCATGAGTCTAACAGCCTCAGGGTAGAAGCTGTTCCTCAGTCTAGTGGTTCTACACTTAATGCTCCTTAACCTCCTTCCTGAGGGGAGCGGGACAATAAGTGTGTGTGCTGGGTGAGTGGGGTCCTTCATGATGCAGGTGGCCCTCTTCCTGCATCTGGAGGTGTAGATGTCTGTGATGGTGGGGAGACTGACTCCAACATCTTCTGTGCAGCCTTCACCACTCTCTGCAAAGCTTTTCTTTCTGCAGCTGTGCAGCCTCCATGCCACACGTTGATGCTGGAGCACAGGATGCTCTCCACTGCACACCTGTAGAAGGAGGTGAGGACTGAGCTTCCCAGACCAGCTCGTCTCAGCCGTCTGAGGAAGTAGAGTCTCTGATGATGTTTCTTGATCAGGCTGGTTGTGTTGTTGCTCCAGCTGATGTTGTCATTCACGTACACACTTGTAGCTGGAGACCACGTCCACCGCAGATCCTATTATGTTTGCGGGGGGTATATGTGTTTCTTTTTTTTTTAAGTCCACAACAAACTCCTTTGTCTTCTTCACATTGATGTGAAGGTTACTCTTTCTGCACCAGCTCTCCAGGTGTTCCAGCTCCTGCCTGTAGCTGGACTCATCATTGTTTGTGATGCATCCCACCACCACTGTATCATCTGCAAACTTTACAATATGACAGCCTGGATGGGTAGCTGCACAATCATACGTGAGCAGAGTGAACTGGAGAGGGCTCAGCACACAGCCCTGAGGGAAGCCAGTGCTGAGAGTTATGGTGGATGAGAAGTTGTGGATTCTCACAGACCGAGGTCTCTTTAAGAAGTCTAGGACCCAGTTGCATAGGGAGGGGCATAGTCCTAGTGTAGTTTGTCCATCAGGGTTTGGGGGATCATGGTGTTGAAGGCAGATGTGAAGTCCACAAAGAGCATATGGACGTAGGAGTCCTTCTGCTCCAGGTTGGTGAGAGCAGTGTGGACCACAGAGGAGATGGTGTCCTCTGTTGATTGATTCTCACCGTATGCGTACTTGAATCTGTAACAAAGTATTCAGATTTATTAAAAGTCTTGAGGAAACTTCCCAACTTTTCTGGAAATGGGTTTTGTTCATCAACACTTAATTAATTCAAGTAATCTGTGTCAGATGGTGAAGTTGCTGCTGTCCAGAGGAGCCAACATCAATGCATTTGACAAGAAGGACAGGAGAGCCATTCACTGGGCGGCCTACATGGGTGAGATTACTGTGATTAAACAAAACTGTAATTGTCTTTTTAACAGATGGGGCAAATTGTACATTTCTTGGATGAGATTTTTTTCTCTGTCTCTCTTCTTTGTATCAGGTCATCTGGAAGTTGTGAAGTTACTGGTTGCCAGTGGAGCTGAGGTCGACTGTAAGGACAAGAAGGCCTACACACCGCTTCACGCAGCGGCCTCCAGTGGGATGAGCAGCACAGTTCACTACCTGCTAAGCCTTGGTGTCCATGTTAGTACTGACAAACACACATGTGCATGACCAGTAGCTTAGAAATGAGCTGCATATTTTCTTAAACAAAGCTAATGTAAGTATTTAACTAAATATCACATATAAACACACGTTACTGTGTTTTCAAAAGAAAAACTGAGATTGTTCCTCTCTGCGCAGGTGAATGAGGGTAATGCCTATGGGAACACACCTCTCCATTTAGCTTGTTACAACGGTCAAGATGTGGTGGTTGGTGAGCTCATCGAAGCAGGCGCCGATGTAAACCAGGTCAGCGTTCACCACTGATTGCCTGAGGTAAATTTGCTGTACGTTTCTTTTTAACCGAGTTGTTTGGTGTCTGTAGGTGAACGAGAGGGGCTTTTCTCCACTTCACTTTGCCTCTTCCTCGCGTCAAGGTGCGCTGTGCCAGGAGTTGCTGCTGGCCCATGGAGCGCACATCAACTTGAAGGTGTGTCCACGTGAAGCTTAAGTTTACCTGAGAAGCAGTGTTTGTTTTGCAGTAACAAAACTGAAGTGTGCTTACAGAGACTAGACTGTGTGGACAGTGTAAATAATAAAAACAAGACCTTATATCACATCCCCAGCTCCTGTGAGTGTGTGCCCTGCTCAGGATGTGACAGAGAACTGAAATCAAATGGCTTAACACTTTGGTGGGTGTGATGGAAACTGATACTGGGTTTTCCACAGCCTCAAGATGCAAGGCCATATGGACAGTGGAGGGGAGGGAGTGACTCCCTGAGGCAGCAAGCTGCTCAGGGATTATGTTAGTGGGTGGGTTGTTCACAAGGGGTCTGTCTTAGCTTTTGTTCATGTTTCTGTACCGTTACTCACATTTGATTAGCTTCTCACTTTAAATTTTTGTTTTTTCCTTTCTGCCTCTCTGTTTGATCTGTCTGTTCAGAGTAAGGATGGGAAGACCCCCCTTCACATGGCAGCTACACATGGAAGGTTCTCCTGCTCCCAGACCCTCATTCAAAACGGTGCGACCCCCTCATCCTCCTGCCAGTGTGCTCTGTTTCTCAACTGTGAATTTGCTGTGTTCAAAGTATTCAGAACAAGCTTAAACCGTACAGATTACTAAATACATTTAGTTTTCGTGTAGGAGCTGACGTTGACTGTGAAGATAAAAGCAGAAACACCGCCCTTCACATTGCTGCCCGCCATGGCCATGAGCTCATCATCACAGCGCTCATCAAACACGGAGCCAACACTGTCAAGTCAGTAAGACGTGATATTTAACCTGTCTGTTTCTCTCTCTGTATATTTTCTGCTGTATTTATAAAAGGTATAAATACAAACTACAGAAATTACATTTCCTGCAAAAATGCAGTGTGAATGCTTATTGCTGAAGAATTTGCAGAAAAACAGCTGAAATTAGTTAAAACTTGCTAAATTGTAGCTGAAATGAAAGAACAGGCCTAGATTAGAAGAAGAAAGCAGAAAGAACACATATTTGCTGAATTAAGATTAGGCAGAAATTAGCACAAAAATTGGCTCAAAAAGCTGAAATTAGCTGAAAGTAGCTGAAAAAAGTTTAAATTTGCAGAAAGAAGCTGAAGCAGAACAAAATGTGAAAGGAGCAGTAAAAGGTTGTAAACCGATCTAAAGATGTGAAGGATGTAAAATGAGCTCAATTCATTTTCTATGAGAACAAAAATGGCAGAAAATGCTAAATATTTCAAAAAGCTAAAGCGGCACCAATACCAAAAGTCATAGTTGGATTGTCCTGAAAGAGCTGAATGTTGATTTATGATTTTATTGAAATAGTTTGAAAACTGCGGGACGAGAAATGCGCTGAAAAATGTACGGAAGAAAAATGTATCACAATAGTGAGAATGCTACATAAACAATTAAACTGCAATGACTCGGGATGTTTAACATTTTTATAAGCTCATAACATTAACCGTTGGGCCTGTAATAGCTTGTCTTTGCCCTTGTAGGAGAGGGATTCATGGGATGTTGCCTCTACACCTGACAGCTCTCAGCGGCTTCTCAGATTGTTGCAGGAAGCTGCTGTCCTCAGGTATATTCACGCTGACACCATGTTTGCTGTGGAGCCACCTGGTTCACGTCCAACTTGCTGCTTGTTGCATATTTGTGCAGGGTTCGTCATAGACACTCCTGATGACTTTGGAAGGACCTGTCTTCATGCTGCTGCAGCTGGAGGGTGAATAGTTTCTCTTCCTGTGCTGTTCACTCTTGTTTTATGTCTGGTCTTCCATTATTTGCTTTGTGTTTACATATTTTTTGTACTGTTGTTTATTATATAGGTTGAATGTGTCACGAAAAACGACGTCCTGAAATATTCTCCTGATTCTTAATTAATACACAACTCTTTAGTGTATCACTTTTCAATATTTGCTCTCCAAATAGGAACCTGGAGTGTCTGAACTTGCTGTTAAACATAGGAGCAGACTTCAACAGAAAGGACAACTTTGGAAGGTAAAGTCAAAGGTCAAACTAATGACCGCAGCTGCACGAACAGACACAGTGGCAACGTTGCATCTAGTAACAGATAGAAAACAGTAAATGTTGAAAAGGCTGAAACAGTAGCTATTTTGAATCTGTGTTCCTCCCAGGGCTCCACTGCATTATGCATCAGCCAACTGTAACTACCAGTGTGTGTTTGCACTGGTGGGCTCTGGGGCGAGCGTTAACGAGTTGGACCAGAGAGGCTGCAGCCCCTTACACTACGCTGCTGCAGCTGACACAGATGGAAAGTACGTTGATCTCTGTGTTTAACCTCCATCGTTTGCGCACCTCTTAATTCAGAGGAAGACGTTGGTGTTAAGCAAACAAAAAATGAACTTTTTGCTCGTCAGATGTGTGGAGTACCTGCTGAGGAACGATGCTGATCCAGGCGTGAGAGACAAACAGGGTTACAGTGCGGTGCACTACGCCTCGGCCTACGGGCGCACACTCTGCCTGGAACTGGTGAGGACAGTTTTTACAGTGACTGAAAATGTTTTTAAATTTTCTGCAAGTAAAAAAAGTCACAAAATCTGTTTGTTTCTTTCAGATCTCAAGCGTGAGACCTCTTGATGTGGTAAGAAATTTCAGTAAACCTTTGAGCTCCAACAGTTTGCAGCTTTTTGTTGAATTGTAGTGATTAGTCGTAAAGAAGGTGCAGCCCTGTTTACGCCTAACATTAGTGTGAGCTCTTTTATAATCCTTGCATCTGCGCTTTATAACTTGAACCACATTTAAAGCTCTTGGAGCTTGACAAGTGAAAATCTTGATCCTCATGAGTAACGTGTGTCATTTGTGTGTCAGTTACTGGAGACATCAGGCACAGACATCCCCAGAGACTCGGAGAGCCAGGCCTCGCTCAGTCCACTCCATCTGGCGGTGAGTTAGAAGATTTAAAAGTGTTTGTATTTGTCTTTATGTGCCTCTCACAGTCCAGATGTGGCTGTCCTTTAATTTGTTTGATGTGGTCCTTTGGTTTATCCAGGCTTACCATGGACACTGTGGAGCGTTAGAGGTTCTCTTGTCGTCCCTGTTGGATGTAGACGTGCGCAGCCCAGACGGACGTACCCCCCTCAGTCTGGCTTGCTCAAGGGGGCATCAGGAATGCGCGTCCCTGTTGCTGCATCACAGCGCCTCCCCAATGGCTCGTGACTACATACACAAAAAGACAGCCTTACATGCTGCAGGTATAAACGCAGAGACGTGCCCAACCAAAGGAAACTTTATGATGAGCTATTTCTGCAGAAAAACCAAGCTAAAGTGCACGTGTGCATATTTGTGTTTGTCTGCTGCAGCTATGAATGGCCACCCAGAGTGCCTTCACCTGCTTCTGAGCCACAACAACCAACACATTAACGTGGACGCACAAGACACCAACGGACAGTGAGTGTGAACAGAATGCGTGGACACAGGAATGGCTTCAGACATGCGCTTTTCTTGAAATGTATTATCCCGCTATGTTTGTAGATATATCACTGAGTGGTGTTAGCTGAAAAAACAAACCTTGTTGAGTTGGGTCATATTTCCACCATGTGCTCAGGACTCCTCTGATGCTGGCGGTGCTGAGCGGACACACAGAGTGTGTGTACTCTCTGCTCAGTCAAGGAGCCTGTGTGGAGACTCAGGACCGCTGGGGCCGGACAGCACTGCACCGCGGGGTGAGATAAACACTTTCACCAACGTCACAAATTAAACTCATCTACCGTATTTTTCACCAAACAAGTCGCACGTTTTTGCATAAATTTGCAAGTCCTTTAACTTGTACACCGAAGCAACTAATATACGTCCCCCCCCCCATATTTATAATTAAATTTTTGACTGAGATCTGATGATTTCATTCACTCTGACATGGAAAATATTGAACACTACCATTTTCAGCCACTAGAGGGCCCTCGACGAATATGGCAAGCCAAGTGTCTCATTAATAGTTCAAAGTGGCTATTAATGAGACACTTGGCTTGCCGTACAAAGCCACCTTCGTCTCGCTCAGGAACTCCTGGAGCAAACGTCAAATCAGCTTCATTTCACCGCCCAGGAGAACTGCAGCTGATTTGATCGTTAAAGTGCATTTATTAAGGAAAAGTTCAGCTGAGACACACCTTTACTATAATTTCAAGCAAACAAATAATTGTTTTTAAACATTAATCTTGTTACATTCTCGTTAAAGTTCTGTGTAGTACGCTCCCGTGGCTGCCGTTTGGCAGCCAATCGATTTTTGGCACAACACCGGCCCATGTTTCTGGTTGGTCAGTGGTGACGCACAATAGATGCAACTTATATGGCGAAGCGGCAAATTTATGTTTTTTACCACTTTATTAAACATATTTGGACTGATGTGACGTGTACGGCGTCAAGTACGGTATTCATGAGAACATTTTGTGACTTGGAGGCAATTTAAGTTTAGACTTTTTGCCTCTCACATTCAGTTTTTGTGCAATTTTGTGAACATTTCTATTATTTATACAGCATTTGCTAAATTAGCACCTGAAAGAAGAGAACACATATTTGCTCCTTAGCCTGTTGCCTACTCTGTCAAGCTCACCTGTACATGAATGAAAGTATTTTGAGTATGCAAACTTGTTTCATCCCTTTTAATTGTTGTGAACGTTTATCCTGAATTTTTGGACTGTTTGGTCTTTATCTTCTTTATTTTCCTTTTTGCTTTGATTACTTCAAAAAATGGTTACAGAATTACTTTATTACATTATATGTATTTTTTTAATATAAATTGTAGTATAGAATTGGTTGATGATGATATATTTGTCGTAGGCTGTGGTGGGTCAGGAGGAGTGTGCAGAGGCGTTACTCCAGCGAGGGGTCAGTGTGTGCGTAAGGGACATCCGGGGCCGCACCCCGCTGCACCTGGCATCAGCTTGTGGTCATGTGGGTATTCTAGGTACCCTCCTGCAAAATGCCAGCTCATCTCTCGCTCACACACACCTCGCAGACAACCAAGGCTACACACCGCTGCACTGGGCCTGCTACAACGGTACTGGAGTACATCACGACACCGTCAGCATCTTTGGCTCTGTCTGAAGCTGAAACTGTGCAAACGTTCTTCTGTCCATCCTTTTAGGTTACGATGCGTGTGTGGAGGTTCTGTTGGATCACGAGGTGTTCAGAACCGTTAAAGGCAACTCGTTCAGCCCACTGCACTGTGCTGTGTAAGACATCAGCTGTTTGTACTCATGAACAATGATACATGGATAGATCCGGTCTATGTGACAGGTTTTGTGTTTCAGTATGAACGATAACGAGGGGGTGGCTGAGATGTTGATCGACTCTTTGGGTGAAAGTATTGTCAACACTGCTGACTCCAAAGGAAGGTTAGAGATGGTGGATACTTTTCATAAAAACTGTTCTCCGTCAGTCGGTTCATTTCAGAATGTTTCTGGTTGCAGGACCCCCCTTCATGCTGCAGCCTTTTCTGACCATGTGGAGTGTGTTTCCCTTCTTCTGAGCCACAGGGCTCAGGCAAACGTTATCGACACTCAGACGCACACGACCCCACTGATGATGGCCGCTGTTAACGGGCAGACAAACGCTGTGGGTGAGTGCTTACAGACACGCAGGGATGAACTGAAACTATTCCCTTTGGAGACTCCTCGTGTGTAATTAGTAGTGTTGCACATCTCTGTGTGAGACGATTCGATACGCATCTAGATACAAAGGTTACGGTTCGATTCAAAAACGATATATTTTAAAAGCAGAACGATTTGATTCGATTCGCCTTTCGATTATACCTTTGAACCGTAGATGACAGCAGCTTCAAGTCCTGTTGCTCTTTCCATCACTGTAGTGGTTTTGTCTTTAGGGGCAAAGGATCACGCTCTCTGTACCTCTTGACTTCTTCAATGGCCTGGTCCCTCACAGATCTAGCTGGTCCAGCGCTGACAATTTTCTTTTTACAAGGAGGTTTATCATCTGAAATAGAAAACAATTACCAATGACGGAATCTTATATCTGGGCTCTTAACGTATGAACCAAATCCTGAAATCCTTCCCCCTCCACTATATCGTATGGCCATAAGCCCTTAGCGATAAAACGGGTTATTGATGCCGTTATATCCTTAGCTCGTGATGAACTGTCGCCGAGTTGCCCGTAAAATTTAGTGATAACGTTACCCGTCGCTCTCTGTGTGGCAGCTGCCTGCTCCTGCTCGATGTTATGGGGCTTGAGAAGTTCGCCATACTCCTCTGTGTTTTCTCGTTGCATGTTGGTCAAGGTCTGTTGTGCTACCAGTGTACTTCAGAGGTGCTCTGCATAGCTTACAAATAGCGTGGTTTTTGTCGAGTTTTCCGTTCTTGTAAAACCCAAAAACGTTCCACACTTTAGATTTTTGTCTGGCTGCTGTACTGAAAATCTTCCGCTGTGACTCGCTAGCGCTGCTACTATTTTCATCCTTTCTCGTCGTCTTGGTGAGCTACGGAGCATGCGTGAGAATAGCTTCGCGGGCATTCCCTGCTCACATGCTGTTTTAGAGACGCACTGTCAACGTATTGCTTGTCTTGCGATACCCTGTCCATGTCTCTTAAACCGATTCATCTCAGTATTTGTGGCTGGTTGCTGTTGATTTATACGGCTGCTACCGATGCAGCCATATAAATAGTTTGTCCAACTGGATATCCGGTCGTATCGGTTTATCTTTCACAACTCTAGTAATTGGTTTAATTCTTGTGTTACAGAAGTGCTGGTGAGCAGCGGTAAAGCAGACCTGTCTCTGCAGGACACAAACAAGAACACCGCTCTGCATCTAGCCTGTAGTAAGGTAACAGCCAGTGATTTATGCAAAAACAAGTTGTGTTTACTTTTTATTGAACTATAAAAATACACCAGGTTGGATTCTCTACATTTTTGTGGTAAAAATGTTCAGACCATAAGAGAAGCACCATGAACAGAACACTATGATGGTGTTAAGTGCTGTAAACCTGTGCAGTGACTTGGTAATCAGTCAACTGTTGTGCAGTAAATGTACTAACCCACAGATCTGCTCTTTATTTAAAATGTCCCAGTAGTTGTTGTGTTTTTTCCTGCACGTCTGTGGTCTGGTTCCAACAGATGCAGGAACACACAGCTGGTTTAACTTTTCTCCACTCCCTAAAAATGTTGGTGAAAAAATGCACAAGCTGGCATGGCTACACGTTAGAGTCGCATTCAGCCCAAAAAATTCGACCCAAACCCAGCCCCAGCCCCAGCCCGTAGCCATCATTTCTGAACCCCACCCGGACCCGACAAATGAACTGACTGCTTATATAGATATAAACTCTCTGCGGACATGCGTGGCTGAATAAAGGGGTCAGAAGATCGGAGCTGAGGGCGTGTTTGTCCTTTCATGACCATCAAAGCGCATTAAATCCCTGCTTCTGCTGCATTCTGCATTATTCAGACATGGACCCTACTCTGACATGTCTGCTTTGGGATCGCACCTGTTTGGGTCGTCGGGTGCACGTGTGCGGAGTGCAGCGGCTGAACATCCATTTGGGCGATGGATCACTTCCTGGCAGTACAGTCCATCTGAAGCTCAACTTTTTTTTACCTCTTTCAAGGTCGGTCAGCTCGCGGTGAATTGGCCACGTGCGGCTGGTGATTATATGGCAAGCCATGTTGCCATATAATTGGATCTTCACCCGCAAGCGTCTGCTGACGCAATCAAAAGCCTGACACCGACCCGGCCCAAGTAGGTATCTCTGCAGCCAAATTCGGAAGGCGTATCTGGGCGGTCATATCTGATTGGACTATAGGAAAATGGGCGTATCTGGGCGATCATATCTGATTGGACTATATGAAAATAGGCGTGTCTGGCCGGCCGCACCTGATTGGACGATAGAAAAATGGGCGTGTCTGGCCGGCCACATCTGATTGGACGATAGAAAAAAAGGCTGAACGATAAAATGCCGTAACCACAGACACATTATGTCTAAAAACAAGGTGTTATTGGCAGATTGTGTTAACCACAGGCATATTATGTCTATGGTGTTAACCGGTTCGACATTAGCGGCGTCTCGGTTCGACATTGCTCCAGTTTACTGCCGCGGCGTCTCCATAACTTCTTTTTTCGCCTCTCTTAACACAGAACTTCCGGTTACATTTCAAAATAAGAGCAACATAACTGGGTAATGGGGAGAGCTAAATGTTGGGTTTTTTTTTTAATACCTAGCCATAACATTAAAAAACAAATTCCATTTTGGTTGTTGAAAAATGTGAACAAAGTTACAATCGATTCATAAAGAAAGAAAAATATTAATGATACTTAAACTGGCCTTGGGACAAAGGATGTTTCCTTTAAATTCACATTGTCTTGTTCAACCTGCAGTCACTGCAGATGAGTGATTCTCAGGTTCTGTCAGATTTCTGCACCTGGAGCAGGTATTCTGTTTACTGGTTAACTTCCTCAGCTGTCTCACATTTTAAAGGTCAACCCTACTCCATGTTTCAGTAGAAAACCAGCACATTTAGGAGTCAGTACATAACCAGACTTTTGGCCCTCACACCTATACCCAGTTGCTCATGCTGCATGATGAGATCAGATTTATCCATATTTTAGAAATTACATTTAGCTTAGTCGACAAAACAATACAAATGAAGACCATCTTAAAAAAAACTCTTGGTTTTGCAGTAAGCAGCCTGATTTCAAACTGACATCTTGGCCAAAGGTAAAATAAAAATCTTTTGTGTTCTCAGAAAAGTTGTTTCAGGACCTCCAATAAACTTATGTACACATCAAAGCACACAAGACATCCATCCATCCATCCATTATCTTTACCCGTTTATTCCATTTTGGGTCACGGGGGTCGCTGGTGCCCATGTCCAGCAATCACTGTGCGAGGGGTGGGGGACACCCTGGACGGGTCACAAGTCCATCACAGGGCCACATAGAGACAAATGAGACAAACAAACATTCACTCTCTCACTCACACCTAGGGGCAATTTAGAGTTACCAATCAGCCTAACATGCATGTTTTTGGTCTGTGGGAGGAAACCGGAGTACCTGGAGAAAACCCACGCATGCACGGAGAGAACATGCAAACTCCACCCAGAAAGGCCCCTGGACCCGGGTTTGAACCAGGGACCTGCTCACCGAGAGGCAGCAGCTCTACCAGTTGTGCCACCGTGCTGCCCGCACACAAGACAGATTCAGGAATTCTCTTTGTTTTCCAGATTTCACATTTTTTTATTACCTTAAAACATACTCAGACAACATTTGATGCATCATTGAATTTTTTTAATGTGTTTATTGGGACATCCATTTTTAGAAGTCATCATAGCATCTGTTGGAAACACAGAACATAGTACAGTTAGGGTGTTGCTAGTTGTTACTTAATCCTGGATTGGATTTTAAAGTTAATTTTGATATTTTTTTCACAAGGAAAAAAAAAGTTGATTTCCTAAAGTTTAACTATAAATGAAGGAATTTGTACATTCAGGTAATTTAAAATTAAGTAATTTCTCTAACATCCAACCCATTTTAGCCACTGAGCCATACCAAACACCCATAATCTATTCTTGAATGAATTATTGACTATTATTGACAAATTACAGACTTTTTATTGAATAAGTTATTACTCATTATTGAATCATTGACAATTTACACTCATGTTTGTGTTAACTCATGTTGCAACAAGGTCAGCAACTTTTGACTATTACTATGAACTATGTTAAACTTTGGAGGTGATTTATTTTGAAAGTCAACATCAGATGTTGGTCAACATTGTTGAGCAACATCTTGGGGTCTTCTAGAGTCAACCTGAAGTGAGAGTGGTTCCTGACATGGCAGAAAGACATAGATATAATTAACAGCTTTTATTTATTTATTTTTCAGCTAATAACAACTATTATTTATTTGTTTTTCATATTTTTCAGTTATACTCAGCTTTTAAATATTTATTTTTCAAGTATTAAGAACTTTTATTTTCAGCTTTTATTTTGAAAAGCACCACCCAGTTGTTGTAAACGTGCACAGTGAGAGCTGCTGTGGAGGTTCACTTTACCTCAGTGCGTTACGACAACAACGAGAGAACGGTCGAAACTATCGTGACCTACAATAAACGTACTTCAATAATATGCATAAGTGAAAACATAACATGCTTTATAAGTACAATAAACCATATTTCTTTGTCAAACATCGCAAAGAAACGTTACCTCATCAATAATCCTCGTGACTTTAAAGGTTACCCACAGCCAATCAGTGTTCGCCGCCGACAAACGCCTATTAAATACTGTTAGCCAATCAGTGTTCGCCGCCCATAAACGCCTACTCGCCAGAAACGCCCACTTTTGGTCTGCAGAGAACCCCTTCTCACCCGGCCCCCCCATCCAGCGCATTATTATGACCTGGCCCGACCCAAATTCGGGCTGGGCTTGGGGCCCGGGTTAGAAATGACAGCTGTACTACATGTGCATGTAAATGATGTTAAACTCATGTAAAGACGGGAGAGGGAGCTGAATGAAGCTGCTTCTTTCCTTTCAGGGTCACGAAACGAGTGCCTTGTTGATTCTGGAGAAAATCAGCGACAAGAACCTCATCAACTGCACCAACACTGCGCTCCAGACGTATGTCGTCCAACACAGAAGCACGTACCTGTTCTCTGACTGGACATCTTGTAACTGTGTACCCCCCCCTCCCCCCACAGGCCACTGCACGTTGCAGCCAGAATGGGCCTGACAGTCGTCGTCCAGGAGCTGTTGGTGAAAGGAGCCAGCGTGTTAGCAGTGGATGAAAATGGTCAGCATTTTTCTCGATGTTTCAGGATGCACAATAATTATTTAATTTATGGGTGACTTATGACCCATCTCCCCCCCACCCCCACCCCACCTGTTTCTTATTCACTCAGGTTACACCCCAGCTTTGGCTTGTGCTCCAAATCGTGATGTAGCCGACTGCTTGGCTCTCATCCTCAACTCAATGATGCCCACCTCACCCATGGTCACGATAGCAGCCTTACCCACCCTGTCTCTCACTCAGACGGTCATCAACCACCACCCCGCCTCGAACCACATCTCCAAAGGTGTTGCCTTTGACACCCCACCCGCTCTGAGACCTGACCACACCTCGTACTGCAGGCCCGAGAGGCCGCTGTCCTCCATTTCTGCAGATGATGAACTGAATGACTCCGACTCGGAGACGTACTGAGGACAGGGACAGACCTGTAGATAATTCTGGCGGGCTAGCCAGCCACTCAGGAGCCTTAACAGATAACTGACAGACAGATGGAGACAATGGGGCAGGTTATTTTTAGGTAAGCTTCTTCAAAATCTAAAAATAACCTTTATATAAACCACATACCTGTTATCCTAAGGTGCATCCCCACTCAAGGGGAACTACAGTGTAGATGAAAGTGCAGACACACTACAGTTTTTAGCCCTGACAGCACTGCACGGTCAGTAACATGACCTGTATCTTTTCAAATATGAAACAGTATTTTATTTTATGAGCTAAGCTTGAACCGTTTGTGGATTTTCTCTTAAATGGTTTTAACCCTTTTCAAAGGTTTGAACCTGTTTCTTACAAGAGCTCCAAGTGATGTAAGGCTCAGAGGATGTTTTTTAAAGCATGATTGCCTGAAGCAACAGAGGAACAGTCTAATGGGACCAGCTGATTAAGGTTCTTTCCTACTGTACTTAATGCTTTTTTATTTATAGTTCCTCGTTCAGCTGTCATGCAGACCCTGACGACTGTCACGAACGTTAATCATGTTGAGTAGATGATTATGAAACCACCAGTCATTAATGAATTCTTTATATTTATATGTCTGAGAGCTGATTGTGACAGCAGGTAGATGTCAGACCCATTTCCTGTACAGCTGTTTCAACCTGAATGAACGACCTGTGGGATTGTCACCTTTCAATGCTGAAACTATTTAATGATTGTTTTCTGTACTGGAGGCTGAAAGCAGTGACTGTGTGTGTGCGTGCGTGTGTGAGAGTGTGTGAGCGATGAAGACAGACATTACTAAATATTGCCTTTTTAGGATTATGCAAATTTCAGACAGAGGTTGGATACTTGGTGCAATGTTTGTAAAGATTAAGTAACAAATGAATAAACATTTGTTTTGGTTTAGTTTGTGTATTCAAGAAAACGTGTTACAGCCACCATAAAAATCAATAATATTGATTACTGCTGATCGTTTCGATGTCTGCAAAATGATGCAAGATGCCAAATTCAATGAAACCTGAAGAGTTCGGATGTCGGCTGTTCTCTTTCCCCGAGCTGTTCATTCATCGTCCAGGTGGTACCTTCGTCCGTACAGAGAGGCAGTGACCAAGCCACGGGTCGTGCTCGAGTGTTTCATGGCCACTCTCCCATCTGCAGTTGTCTCCAGCTGCTCAGGCTTCTCCAGGACCAGACGGCTTGCCAGCACTGCAGGGTACACGTGTCTGGTCTCGAAGCGCCCCTCCAACAAGAAGTCCATCTTTGACTCGGCCTCCTCCACTTCCTGCCCACAGGAGCTGGCCTCTGTGTCTGCACAGCGGACCACTGCACACACCTGTAGATGGAGCGGAGGTAGATGATCACTGGTAGAAAAGTGCTTTAAAACCATCAGAATGTGATTTTTACCTGCACGGCGTAACGTCCGTTCACAGTGTGCGTTCCTGAGAATGCTCCCAGTGCATAGAGCTCCTTTTGTTTATCGTGTGCTGTCCACTTGTACTGAAGGTGGCAACAAAAGGTGCCGTCGCACACCGTGAGTTCGCCCCCCGATTCCTTTAGGAGGACAAATTTAAACGGGTCATGCATCATGGATGACGTGAAGGTGGGGTAGGTGGGTGGAGGAGGATCAGCACAGCTGTCCGTGTGGCAGTAAGCAGCCGTGGCAGCCAGCGATGGTGTGGAGGCAGTCGTATCTACTGCAGTATTCTGTCTCCCCCACAGCGGGTCTAAGACTGGCACCCTGGCCACAAGCAGCCTGCCCTCCTCTGGGTCGCCCCTCTTGGCGTGGTGGTAGGTGGCAGAAGAAGGGGTGTAGATGCCACTTCCTGTCATGCCGAGTCGGTCGTTCCGAACGTTGGCAGCCAGCAGAGTAACGTTGGCGCCCATGCTGAATGCCCACTGAAACTGAATGGAGTCCAGCAGGGGGAGCTGGTTCATCCAGGCCGTGGGGAAGATCAGCTGACGGACATCCTGGAAGAGGAGTAAAAACTGGAGTAAATGGGGTCAAATATTTTCAGTAAGTTGTCGTGTCGGTGTGTTTTCTACCTTTTCCACAAGAGTTACTGTAGGATGTTTGAACAAGATGTCAAAGCAGATGATGAGGCCAAACTTCCCAGCGAAAGGTGTTTCAAACGTAACGATTTCTGCTCGTGGAGGTGTGTTAAAGGACTCCTCAAAGTAAAGGTTGTGTTTATGATAGCGTGCCACCAGGAGACCATCAGAACTGTGTGGGGAAAACAAAGGTTTAAGTTATAAAAAAAAGACAAATATGATCACTTCTTTTTACTGAAGCTGCACTCAGCACCTGAAAACCACATTGGTGTTGAACTGCCAGCGTCCATCAGAAGGACAGGCTGTGGACGGGTCTGTTTTCAGGGGACAGGGTTGCAGATCAGCCATGTTTGCCACTAGGTAGAGGTTGTAGCGACGGGCCATACAGCTCAGTCTCTGGAGAACCTACGTGACAAACGTGATATAAACACTCCATATAACTTGGTTTCATCTTACATTAAAACGCTTGTTTCATATTTCTGTATGAAGCAGTTTGCTGTCAGAATGCAGGTTTACTTGTGGTTCCTAGAGTTTCTAACAGTAAAATGGTAGGCAGAGCTTTAAGTTATCAGGCTCTTGTGTGGAGCCAACCTCCAATTTCTTTCTGTGAAGCTGACGCTGTCTACTTTTAAGACTCGGCTTAAGACTTTCTGTTTTGATAAATCCTATAGTTAGGGTTGGCTTTGGTTTCCCGAGTTATCCTATAGATATACTGCTCTAGGCTTAGACTCCTGTCACCACTTCGTCCTGCCAGGTCAAGGTAGATGACCACCTGTCCCGAGCCTGGTTCTGCTGAAAGGTTTCTTGTTAGAAGGGAGATGTTTTTTCTAATGACACCGATGTGTTGCTTAGAAACCACTCGGCCTGCTACAACTTTTACTAATTAGCATTTCAAAATGTCACGACGTGTTGTTCAGTGGAATAACTTTTGTTATGAACTGACGCTGTACAAACAAAATGGCTCAAATGAGTTGTGGTGTCATTTTTTTAACATCCGTGTCCACAGAAGTTGAATGTGAGCTCGTTTGATGTAACTGCCTCTTTACCTCAGTGTTGTTGTGCCTGTGTGGCTCCTCGCAGGGGTTCCAGCTCTCCTGCTGGGGGTCAGGAACCGTTTCTAAATAGCCATAGATGGATGAACGGGTGTAGTTAAAACCATGAATGCCGTCTTCTGGAAACACAAGTATCTGAGCACCCTGAGTGAGAGCAGATGAAACGGGTTCATCAGCTGATCAAAAAACAAACAAAAACAATCACAAAACTTGTGTCAAACATTCAACCTTTATTTATACAGGTTAACCCCATGGAGCCTCGGGGGCTCATTTACGAGAGAAACCTGATTGTAATATTGATGACAAAATATAAACTACTTTGATCATCAAGTCACCCCGATGATAAACATCGCCTCATCTGATCTGTGACATCAATCAAGCAGAATTTGATCTTTACAAGTTTAAGAAGCATAACTTCTATCCTGAGATAAATTATGACTGACCTAAGGTGAGGTCAGTGAACAAGGCTATTCTGGCAGATCCTGATCGCCCACTGAGCGAGCGCTGCTTCTGGACGCAGGTATCGCTCCAGATGTGAGTCTTCCGAAGATGGCGGAGTGAGCAGTCGCAGCTTGCAGTCTCCGGTGTAAATAGTTTGTGTCCAGTCCTTGAATGTAATGTCGTGTGCTTTTGCTACACGCAGCGAGTTCATTGAAAGCTTCTAAGAAGTCTGGTGATTTTTTTTTGTAGCGAAATATAAACTTTACAAGTGTCTTTTCTTGAACGGGCTAACAGGTGGACGAAACGTTAGCTACGATGGACGAACATGACTACGGCCTGGTCGCTCTTCCCAGTGTGAGTGAAGATGGAGACTGCAAAAATACAGACGTTAGTGCTGACCAACAGATGTCTAAGACGGAGAAGATCAACCAGGAACACACTCCAACTAAACCTCCCCACCCTAAAAGGCTGAAGGAAGGCAACGCCGACCCTCAGCGTGAGTGCGACCTCAAGACTTTTCTAGAAGCTGTGAGTTCACTGACGAGAAAGATGGATGCACAAACTGAACTTCTGCAGAAGTATGAGAGAAAGATTGAGGAGAATGCTGCTGCTATTAATGTGAACAAAGAACATCGAGGGGCTGCAGGAAACAGTCAGAGAGCTTGAAGAGGAGAACAAACAGCTGAAGGAGTCTGTGATGGAACAAGCTCGATACAAAAAGAGGGGGAGGACACCAGAGAGGAGGTCATTGGCATTTTGACCAGCGTGGTGCGCATCTCAGTGGATCAGCTTCGTGGGACAGTCGACACCGTACATTGCCTGGGAAGGAAGAGTGACCCCGCCACTTCAAACAACGCTCCGCGGTCAATAATAATCCAGTTCGTGGCAAGAACGGTTCGAGACGAGGTCTGGAAGAGATCCAAGGATGCCAGGGTCTGTCAGGAGAAGCGTATCCAGTTTGAAGAAGATTTCTCCAAAGAGGACAGGGAAGCTCGCAAGAAGTTGTGGCCGCTGGTACGAGATGCCAGACAGCGAGGGCAGAGAGCTTTCCTGAAGGAAGGATACGCTCTGATCAACAACCGGAGAGTCGACCCTTCATAGACACTCACTGAGCTTTTCACTCTGAATTTTATTCAGAGTGTTATTACCGATAAATGATCTCAATAATAGATAATGTTTTGATTCACCTGATATGTCTTAAAAGTTAAATGCACCTTGTTCTGATAGTAGATGGGACAAGATTTCTCATTCCTGCACATCTTATGATTCCGTGTTCTACCTCAAAAGTTTTTAGGTATATTATCTTTTATTTCTTTGAATGCTCGGGGGCTTAAAAACAATGTGAAACGAAAAACTGTTTTTTTCTTTTTTGTAAGGAGCAAAGAGCTAATTGTGTTTTCCTACAAGAAACTCATTCTGGTGAAGATGATGTGAACTTTTGGAAGTTACAGTGGGGTGATTCTATTGTTGTCAGTCATGGGACGTCACACTCAGCAGGTGTTTTGATTCTGTTGAACAGATTTCCAGGCAAGATTTTAAATCATACTAGTGACACAAACGGGCACTGGCTGATGGTGATAACAGAAATTAATGATGAAAACTTTATGTTGGTGTGTGTTTATGGTTACAATGAAAGAGTCAAAAACAAAACTGATATGTGACTTATGTCAACATATTACAGATAGTACTCTTACTCAACAGATAAAGTTATACAGGTCCTTCTCAAAAAATTAGCATATTGTGATAAAGGTCATTATTTTCCATAATGTAATGATAAAAAATAAACTTTCATATATTTCAGATTCATTGCACACCAACTGAAATATTTCAGGTCTTTAATTGTTTTAATACTGATGATTATGGCATACAGCTCATGAAAACCCAAAATGCCTGTCCCAAAAAATTAGCATATCATGAAAAGGTTCTCTAAACAA